AATTACGTACGGAAATTATTTCTTGCTTACGCATTTTCCACGCAAACAGTTAACTAAAGAATTACATTCCTATGTGTACACGAGGCATTCCTAATTAAAAATATAGATTTATGTCTAAATAATTACTGTCCAAAATAGTGTCTTTTGATTCTGTCACATTTCACATGTGAAGATATCGCTATTGACATGGTAACGTATTTTTATAAAGAATTTTTGAGCTTTTGTTTTATTTAAGTTTCATCGATATCTATATAATAAACAGAACATTACATGGCCGCTTGGAGATACGAATTTTATCTTCTCGTGTTCAATTTAGATATCTCACTCGTTCGCCTCGCTCACCCGTGAGATGTCAATTGAACACTCGAAGATAAAATTCGTATCTCCGCGCGCCCATGTAATATCCTCTATGTAATCATAAGAGTTGATAAAGCAGTGTACGATCTTGATGAGTACTTAGTTCATTAAATAATGCCTCCATGTAGGGTATGTGACCAAGCAATGGCATGAGAATGTCCATGGGCCAGTGTCCTCCGTAGGTCTTAAGGTCCATTATTGGAGATTGACCCTTTAAAGGTTCGTTAAGGAACGTTCATTTTTTAAGGGCATGAGGGGCTGGTGGGATTTCGTGAATTGTACGTAAAAAAATGTATGACTCCTTCCCAACCTGAATGTTTTTACGTGGCCCTTATTAAAACAGTATAAATTTTTGAAAAATAAATTTTCTTTTTAGCGAATTATTTTTGGGGTGGCCCCCCTTAAATGCCATATTTCTTTACGTCCCCCCCCCCCCTCCGATCCCCCCGCCATAAATCCCACAAGCCCCCCATGCCCATAAAAATGAACGGTCCCTCCTAAGGGAATTCATGTCTTCTCTTGGAATTAAAATTCCGTTTAGCATCACCTATTTCAGATATCTGAACGATGTTTTTTTTAAAAAAGGTGTATAGTCCCTTTCACAGTTCCCTGCGAGACGAACGGTGAGCTTGGAATGATAGAGATATTTTTTTAACACCTTGGGCAATTATTCCTAATATTGTCTCTATCATTGCAAGTTCCCCGCTGTTCTTGCTTCGATGGAAAGGCATGGCTACCTTTCAAGATGGCGCAGGTAACTGTGAAAGGGACTATTGTATCCTTCATGTTAGTTACACTGAATACTTACCTTTCTGCCCACGGACCAGTGCCGAAAAAACGACCAAATGGCTGTTTATCATCTTTGTCGCTGTACTGATACTTTCCTGTAAGAAGACCTCCTGCAAGCTTTTGACATAAAACAACATAATATAAGTATCTTATTGTATTATGAGATATTAAAAGATTCTCTTTACCACACATAATTTATATTTCCAACTTACTGGATTGTATGCATAGAACTGAATCCCAAATCTTCTCAAACAAGGAAAAAGTTCACTTTCAACAGCTCTGGCAAACAAATTGAATTAAAACTATTATTATTATTGATTATTTTTTGTGATTGCAGGAAAAGCTAGCAAAATGAACTAGTGGTGAGTGAACTAGTGAAGGGTCTGAGGGGGGTATCAGGGTTAATGTTAAAAATAAAAACAATGAAACTTGAAATCCTGTGGAATCAAAATATAGTTTTACCAAACTTTACCATTTTTATGGAGTATGGAATCATTATATTCATTTAAACTTATAATGTCCAGTACAAAACCCTACCTGCAGTATGTATAAAAACTGTGTACTGATTTATAATTGAACATGGACTATTGTAGTTCCGAATAAAGCCTTACAAATAGCCTTCATTCTTCTTTAAATTGCTTCACAATTCATTACAAACTGAATTTCTTGACAATTGAGCAGGTGATATTTTATTTTTTGATATCTCATAGTCCGCTCAATAAAATTACCTGATTCTGATTGGTTGAGACAAGTACAATTAATCTTTAATATATATATATATATATATAACTGATACTCAAACCTGTACAACCAACCTTTTCATGCATTTTTATTGTCCTTAGAATTTTTGGAAAAAATATTCTTCAACTGCACTCATCTAAATTAGGCTTGTGCGATTACAAGAATTTCCAAAGCATCACTTGTATCTATCCCTGGGTGGGGGGGGAGGGGAATCCAGGAAAAAAGTACCGGGGATGCTCGTCGTATCTCTTAGGGGTAAAAAATCGCGATTTGGTATCTTTTAGGGTGTTAAATGCGAATTTTTGAAAATCAGTATTTTCTGGTATCACTTAGGGTGTTGGAAAAGGAGAGAAGCGTGCATCGATGTGGCTTATCCTAGGCGCTTTTTATATAAAATTTAATGTTATTCGTTGTGGTATCTCTTAGGGGTTAAAAATCATTCAGGCACTCCCTTTTTTAAAGACTTCCGGTATCTTTTTGGGGTCTTTTTCGAAAATTTCCGACGAGCATCCCCGGTACTTTTTTCCTGGAGTCCCCCCCCGGGTATCTATCAATTACAAATTGTGTTTGAGGTCATGTGTTTTCCTATACAAATAGTCTGGATACCTTCTTATTACCACACTTCTAACTGATAAAAGCTTGAAAAAAAGACTTATTTCAAGTTCCAAATTACTGATGTGTTCCTTGATTACAGACTTATTTATTCAAGGTTAGCCTCCAATCAGTGTTTAAATATTCACAAATACCAATGGTAAAGTAAAGAATGTGCAACTTCAACAATACAAACACTTTGAAATTACACGGGCCTTCTGGAACACATGACTATTTTGCACAAAAAATATTTTGACACTGAGCAAAAGACTAGAGTATTAATCCATGCATGCATACCTGACAAATGCATTGTACATTCCTTGGTATATGGTTGGCAGAACATAATTGCTTTCTTTGCAGATGTAGTATATCTCTACCTGAATCAAAAAATAGATAACTTTTAATCATAACTTTATTTAAAACAGCCATTAACGCCTAAATAGATAATTTTCTGGTGTTCCCCAATGCAAAAAATGAAAAAATGGTTTCACTTACCACCTCCCATGCAGCGTAATTAGATAAAGCAAACTGCTTGAACTTGCCCTCTAAATAGATATGTCAAGAAAGAAAACGTTTTTCATTTATTACAGGTGTGGATGGAAAACCAAGAATTTTTCTTAACCAATCAGAAATGTTAATGTAGATAACAACTAGTTTTGGAACTAGTTAATGTATAATATTAATAATAATTATGTTAATGTATAATTTCCATTATCTTGCGCTTAGAGAGTTATTTCTAATTGGCCAATAAACAAAAGAATGATTTTCTGGAATATTTTTAGGTGCCTATGACTTTTTGGTTAGCACTATAATAGAAGATATCACAGTATATGCTTTATTGCATTCAAACGCATATTGTTTTAGGTCAAGGCATTTGGGTTAGTATCTTTACTGATTCATGATCACGATCATTTGAGATGACTTTATCTGGAAGTTTCTTGGTTCATGGTTAGAGATCTATTAGGTAATATTATAATATAACTGCAATCCAGCCAAAGTTGTAACATCAAACATTTTGCTAAAACCTGTGGATGTGCATGGCTGGAAATTCTAAAGATGATAACTTGTGTGTTTTGGTGTGAAAATGGTACATTGCCTCTCCACTATGACAGAGAACTTGCCACGCCCTGATGCAGCAATATTAGCCTCACCCTTGTGTAGTTGGTCAACTGCCTTTAGGGTGTCTTCAATAGGAGTTTTGTGATCAGGTGCATGTAAGTAGAATATATCAACACTCTTTCTTTGAAGTCTGTGAAGTGAGGTGTTCATCTGCTCCAAAACACGATCAAACTTCAGTCCTATAACGACAAATTGATAATGATATCAGTTCATTTGGCTTCATTTTTATTAACTAAATATGCCATGAAATTACAACTTCAAGCAACTGACTTAATTTTCATTTATTTTGCTGGTGAGCAAAGTGATCATAGTGTTTGAAGTCTCTGAGTGGCTGAACAATATTTGATGTCACTGAGCGAGCGGCGACTATGGGCAGGTTTCTGGGAGGAAGTTGTATTGTAAAAGTAGCTTGCTCATCTTTTTCTGCAATTTTTTCTGCAACAAAGTTGTGTTGTGAGCTAAAGCTGCAAGAAAATTTTCCTTGTGTAAGAGGGCCTTTGTGGGTATCTGACATCTCATCTCTGCTTTTGATAGAATTGCATTGCAAGTTGCAAGGAAAGTTGCCTTGTGTATCAGGGCAACAGGGCCTTAAGGTTAGATGACATATCCTACCTTGTTCACTCCAAGGATTTGCTTTAGTAGCAATGACAACCTGAGAAAATATCTATATGTATCAGTTTTAAAGTTTTAAATATTTGTTTATTATGATATAAAACTGGATGGGGGTGGGGGTTTGGAAGATTCAGGGAAGACTCTAATTGGAAAATGGTGGGGATGCTTGTCAGACCTTTTAGGGTTCCAGACCTGCGATTTGATGCCTCTTAAAGTGTCATAAATCTAAAAGTACCACCAGAAAATAAGGCAGTACTTCATATACATATTTTAATTATTAAAAACATAAAGGGCAGGCACATTCCTGGTAGTACCTTCGTGTACAGGTTAACCAAATGCATCATAGGTTTCCGAACACATGAGTGGGACGTTGGATTTTGGTTTTCCTCATTTAGAAAAAAAATTCCATGGCAGACAAGATTCAAACCTGGCACCTTGGCACCAAATGATATTACAATAACTATTTTCACCCGTAAAGCCTTATGAACGATTACGTGCGGAATGTTAGCATGACTTTCTGGGTGTGATTTCTAGGTGAGAAGCATTATGAATGCCCCTGGGTCGGCAGTTGCATATTTAAGCGAGAAAATCCAAGGTTTCAACCTCATTTGCTCAGGTTCGCTGTACCAGTCAGTGCTAGACAGGTCTTTACCCCACCCACCTCCCCTTTGGCGACGTTTCTCCATTATAACAGTTCAGTCCGGTAGCTTAATCACAGCCCCGCCAAAATTCGTGTTCCCAAAACTTAACCGTGTCTATGAGGTGAATAGCTGCTTTGGCAGTGAAAACGGTATACTATCCCAACCCAAACCCTAAACCTAACCATGCACTCAGCCACGAAGTTAATTTGCTTGGCTACTTTTTGTCATATTTAAAACTGTGCTTGTATGCATTAAATTACTTATTATAAAAGTATAATATATGCTTAGGACATGACTACTAGCCGACAAATGAATTTGCATATTGAAATTTGAATTTGAATAGAATTCCCCTGACAATTCCCATACATGAAGTTACCACCACATTCCTGGTTGAATTTTCATGGAATGTCCCTTGATGCATTGTAAACATTGATTCGTTAGAAAATTATTACCTCCAAGATGAGAGAAAACTGCTTTGCTATTAAGAGAAAAGTTTTAAGTAAGCCTCAAATGCAAATGCATACCTTTGGATCTTTAAGCAAATCAATAGTACCCATTATTTCCTCTGACTTCCCCCCTGCATACCTACAAATACAGTAATATATTATTAATATCTCATAACATAAATGAATACTTTAAGTAATATTAATGATTATATTGTGTAATTCCAAAAATTATCTATACCCCCCGTCCCCCCAGTGGAGGAAATGTTTAAAGACCCACCCCAACGATTTCCTTCCATAAAGAATTTTTTCCTTTCTCTGACCCCCCAGAGAGCGCAATTTAAATAAAAGTGAAAGGTGTGAATAGAATAGGAAAAAATATCCTAGTTTATTGAATTTTTGCATTTGAGGTCAAGCTACCATTTGTATAAAATATGTACATGTATATATAATATTTTTCGCACCTAGTTTGTTTTCTACATGATAGTCCCCCTCACAGTTCCCTGCGCTATCTTGAAAGGTAACCATTCCTGTACCGTACATCGAAGCAAGAACAGAGGTGACCTTGCAATGATAGACACTTGTGAATAGTCCAAGGTATTAAAAAAGGTTTCAATCAATTAAGCTCACGGCCATTCTTGTATCAATACACAGCCATGGTTACCTTTCAAGATGGTGCAGGGAACTGTGGAGGGGACTATTTTCCTATGGTCACAGTGTAAAATACTACTAAATTCAGTGCAACTTTATGCAAACAATTATTTATTGCAGCTACGATTTGACTGTCTTTTGCACCTCAGGTCTGGTCTGGTCTGGTCTGGGGGTCAAAAACCCATCAAAATGATTTCTGGGAATGAGGTTTGATTTTTTTTTAAATTGTTCAACAAATTTCTTGATGGCATTGATGCCTCACACACTGGCATCTAGAGGACCCCGGGGGGGGGGGGGGGGGGGGGGTTGTGGTACTCTTGCCCGTTTAGGGTAGGCATGTGCCGCTGAACCCTGACCCTGTTCCAGAGTAAAATCACTGAAATTCTTACCCAAGATTGTGAAAATGGATACCCTGTTCTAGAGAGGAGAGAGCATGATTTGTTATCCACTGTCCCAGAGTGAGCATGATTTTATATACCCTGTTCCAGAGTAGAATCACTGAAAACCATACCCTGTTTGACGGCACATACCCGTATAGCGAATATAGGAGAGTAACCTCCCTCCYCCCCCCCCCCCCCTCCCGGGTAGAGGACCAATTAGGAAGACCTGTGGGGGAATACCTTTGAAAACCCAAGAGAAAGGTGGAAACTATTGGTGATTTTATCAGTCACCTTTCATTTTATCTAAAAATTGTAGTTGCAATTATTTGCAACAAAAAAATGATGCAGCTTCAGTCCAAAAGTTTCAGTTAATCACCTTGCATCATTAGGAAATTTAAGTTTAAATCAAGCTTAATTTGATTCAAAAGTACTATTTTTCAACTGAACAAAGAGTAGCCTTGCTGCCTTGCCTCACAGTAAATTAAGATTTGAAATGTATTCATCCCCTCTGTTATTCTTATTACAAATTTCAGACCATAAATGATACTTTGAATGACACATGGTCTAAATTGGATAACATTGCACCAAGATGAGCGCTGAATGGTTATTTTTTATCATCAATAAGAGGACAGACAGATAACGCTGATGTCAAAAATCATGTGCTCTTTTCATTTGTTGTTTTGATCACTAAAAATGAGAAGTTTTTATCTTTTTTGTTATTGTAAAAAACAATTAATATAGACATCAGTTTTTTATGTGTCTGTCCTCTTATATATTGAGGATAAATTTTGTCATCACATTGTCAAAGTAGTTTGCGGATCCACGGCTTTTGGTTACGCCTCAATGATCCACACTACTTTGACAATGTGATGACACAATTTAATGTCAATAAGAGGACAGACACATAAAAACTGATGTCTATTTGTTAATGAGATATTTGAGATATTGAATCACAAAATACTTACATAAAAGCAGTATCAAACTCATAGCAATCAGAATTCATGCACATTTTAACCATTTCCTTAGCCTATTATAAAGAAAATATATTAGTAATATTGATGGTGAGAAATCAAATGCAAAATAGTACCAAGTTTACTAGTACTGAATAGCACGTACAACACATTATTTGAAAAAGTTTACTGTAAATCTCCCAGCCCTTCCCCCCTCCAGTAAAAAATGTACTTTCACTAAATCAACCAGAGTTAACAGTTTGTCTCTCAAGATTAGTATCATAAACCAATGCCTGTTACACGGCACTTTTACAATAAACAGAGTGGAAACAAGGAGAGGCCATTTTTATGCAATGAAAGGAGAGGGGGGTTCAGATTTTTGGTATGGGCTAGCAAGCCAATTCTATGCACCCCTTCCCAATAAAAAATAAGCAGCCTCTTTATAAATTATAAGGCAAAAAATTGACTGTAAACATAAATATAACTTTTAACTTAATGAAATGAAATTTACTGTTTGCAATACTCACCTGAATAGGGTCTGCTTGGCGACCAAATTCCATGGTTCCAAATACAGTCTTCATTTTGCTGTAACCTCTATTACCTATAATTTGTTACATACCTCATTAAATCACATAGTCCCTAACTGCAACCAGCAGGTAGCTACAGTACCGCCTGAAATCATTGCAGCATGCGAACGCGTTTGTTTCGCGTCTTAACCGCGTGCGGTGAACGCAAACTGTACGCGGAATGGACGCGAATGGACGCGAATGGACGCGAATGGACGCGGTCAATACGCTCTTTCGTTCTTACTGCGGTTTATAGAACGTAGCATTTACAGTACATACATGTGCCGAGTACATTTGCAGTGAAAGTGCCCCAAAAACTAGACATCACTTTTTAATCAAATGAGCAGCATTTTCTGAAAAAACGTAGCATAATCATCGACCGAATGTACGTACATTTAGTCAGATAGTCTATTAATATGGAAGTTTGAAACTTTCGAATATTTTCGAAATTCAAATGTCGGAAATACTTGGAAGTTCGTCCATAAACTTCTATAACTACATGTACTGTAGTTATAAATAAACTGACCTCAAATTATTATCGCTGTGAGGAGGCCTAACCGCATCAATTTAAACCTTCAAAGTTCAATATGCTACACAATATATGTCTTTTGCTAGAGGAAAGTTCAGTCTCCAAATAATTTATCAGAGTTTGAAGCAAATTATTAAGATCAAACCTATT